GTGCCAGGTTCAAAGTTACGAGAAAATTTAAGAATTCCTGATATCCAAGCCCATAGTCAAATGTAAGGAATGAGGTTAAATAAGATGTGAGGAGGTAGAAAGGAAAGCTAACGAAAGAATGGAAAAAGTGGTACTATTCAATTTTCCCACTACAGCGAATCTTTATTTTCATCTCTGCAATGATCAAGTACTGTACACTGAAGTATAGATACTGCAGAAAGAGACGGATGAACAGATCCATGATAAACTCTAAAAATAACTTACTGAAGATTTGACATAAAATATAAAATTATAATTTACCTCCTTGGAAGAAAAGAACACAGCTGAATAGAGAAGAGGTAATTTAAATTTTAAAAATGGTGCCAATCCCAATGACCAGCCTTTTCTGAACCAGAAGAGACAGAATTAAAATGTAGACACATAAGTTTATTTAATAAAAGTGCTGGATCGCAATGGAAGTTAATTCTGCTCTTAGGTAGTTGTAATTTTTACATATTTTCACATCAGTAGATATGTAGATATAAGCATTAATCCCCAAATATTATTAGTTACCTTTCTTCACCATCATAATAGCTATATATATGATTTTAAAGACCAGACACTTGTATGAAGGTCTAAGGTCATGAAAAGTGTTACGTTCTTGTGAATAATGCCTTAGTCCTAGATCTAACAAATTCCTAACCATGGCTGTAAATGTAGATGATGCCTGAGTTATATTGTTATCTTTCAGAGTCTCATGAGAAATCATGTGATTGCCCTCACTGGCTGCAAGTCATTTCATTATCAACGCAGTGGAAATTAATTCCAATTATTCATCCTACAATTTTTATCCATAACTGAAATTTAAGACTACTCTAAACCCTACTGTATTTTCCAGGCTTGTCCAAATATCTAATAACAATTATACAGGAGGATTATACTGGTTAGATCTAAGACATGTTCTATGTTAATGTCAACATACTGTTTCTTTAACCTAGCCTCTAAATTATTTAATCTCTAATCCATACTCGATTTGGCCCAGTGATAACCCTCTTCTGTGTTAAACATGAACAGGAAGATAAGATTTACTTCCTCTTAATCTCAAGAAATATTAAATATATTAAATAGATTGACAGCCTTTTACACCTCTAATTGCAGATAATCAGATATTTGAGTGAATAATATTACCACTTTTGGACAGGCAAGAAAAATATATGCAGAGAAGATATATATGACTATATTTCATTTGCCTAAAGTGAAAAATAGAGGCTCAAGAAGCAGAAAAGACAAGGTTAGTGGCTTGTCAAGGAGATACCTGCTGTGCTCATTTAACTTGGGACAAATGACTTTGGAAATAAAAGGTCAGAGCCCTTGAAATGGTGGATTAATGAATTAGCAATTAGACTGAAAAGCAAAAAAAGCACCAATTAGATTTTCTGCCATATTACAGATTATCGTAACAAATTAATCTGTAGAACCGCAAGACAGATCTCACATAGGCTACATTAATGAGAAAAATAATGCATGACAATAAAAATAACTGGAAGTGAATGAATGAATATTAAAACCAGCAAACATATACATGAAAAATATGCCACAGACACTGAACAGTTAAAGAATTACAGAAACCTGATAGAGATAGTGTAACTATCAGAACTTCAAGAAGTGAGAATTAAATACTGTAGAATAGAAGCTGTATTTAAAGAACAGATATTGCTGGAAAGCTGCCAACAAATACAACAGAAAAAAATATAACTGATAATGACTACTGTAAATTACTTAAGTGAAGAAGAAATACTCGACATAGAATAGTAATACTTAATCTGCAAGGTAAATAAATGTAGACCAAGAAATAAAAATGTAGTGCGAACAGATGGTCTTCAAATGGCTAAACAGATAAATTGGGAAAGAGATAAGATATAAGCAAAATAGAAGACAGTTGCAAGTAAATAAGAAACAGAAATACAAAAAGTATTGTTTTCAACATATAAAGAGGCTACTGAATAAAGGGAATTGTGTCATTGCTTTTTAAAAGCATGGTAGTTAAAAAATAGAAAAAAAAATGTCACAGAAGCTAGAAAATAAGATTAGTACAGTAGCATTAATCAGTACACTTTCCATCAGTAAACAACCAATAAAATAGCTTACCATCTGCATCAACCTGCAGACTTGCCAAATACTATGTGGTTTCTGGAACATTACCCTTCAAAACATCATCTCCCAAAGGTATCATAGTTCACCTCTACATTAAATATGACATAACTTTTGAGTAATTAAAATATTCATCATGAAATATCTGAGATTCACCTACAGCATTATTCTAGTTCAAATCCACGCTTGAAAAAAAAATCCACTTTGATATAGTTTTTCAGAAAAAAGTAGCCTGAATTTTGCAAACATTTTGGTTCCTTTAATAGTAATATAGCTTAAATTTTAAATGTTAGTTTAATCTCAACTTTTGTAATGCAAGACTAATCACTGTATCCCATGCAAATCACCTTTAAATTCATAAAAATACAGTTGTAATTCTTATAAAATGTTAGAAAGATTTATAGTTGAATAACATATTTTGCAATGAAGTCCATAATGTTGAGAAACAGCTTGTGAATTTCAAAATCAAGGACCAAGATTTATCTTCATATAAAATGTGTATTTTTTCTATTTTTAAAATATATTGACACTGTCCAATGAACAATTGGAAATTGCCCATTTTCTTTTTTCTTGAGTAGCAGATGTTCGTAAAGATACTTATAACAGCATAGTATCATTTCTGATCTTCAGCCTGACAGTTTAAACTAAAACAAGCAGGTAAAATAAGTTTTTTAAAAAATCTAAAAATAACTTTCAAATATATGTATTGAGCTACTAAGCAAATTTTATAAAATAGATTGTGCTACACTCTACAGATTCATTTTGCCATTCCAAAAAGACAGAATAATTGATTTTTTTCACTTTGAATAAAATAAAACTGGTTTTGATATTCTAGTAAGTATACTTTAAGACAAAAAAAACTGTGAAAAATGAAGTTATTTGGCCACGCGAAATATTAAACAAATATATTTGGATAACATACAAGCATTTTATTTATGCATAGATTAATAAATAATGTGCGTACACTAACAAAGGTTCAGAAATAAAAAGATAAAAGAGAACAGATAAAAATGAAAAATAAAACTTAAAAATTTGAGAAAATGAGAGACAGTGTGGCTAGTAAATTTTCAATAAAAAATTATGAGCATTTTTTTCCTGAATAATAATAGTTTTAAGATTTTTTTTGGTTAAAATTAAGGATCTAAATAATTTAACAGACATTAACTAAAAAGAAAAAAAAGTATGTTAAAATTTGAATAATTTATATTTGGTAGGGACAGCATAGGAGGTGACTTGTACAGGCTCAGCCTCCTTCTGTCCCTATAATCCCAGTTAGCAAATTAGATTGCAACTTCCATGATGCATCCTGTCTAAGCATCCCATAAAAACTACTTTTACTCCTCAGTAGGGAAGATCATGTCAAAGAGAAAATTATATTTTAACAAACAATCTTAAGTTTAGTTATATTTTATCTAGGACAAAGACAAACTTATATCCCATTATATATTATCTAAAGGAAAGGATTGGAACAGTCCCAGTTCCACATATTTATTGAGACAAATTCTTCAAATGAGTTTTATTTCAAGACTGTCTTACTGAAAAGCTCAGAAGATCTCACTAGTACATGTTTAAGAAAATTGAATAACAAAAGAAAACCTAAATTAAATTTTCCAGAACTCCGGAAAAATACACAATACTTCCACAGAATCTTTTCTTATTTTCTACTTCTAAACAATGATCTGCAACCATCAAATCGCAGAGAATGCATGCATGTGCATTTATATGCATAATGGAGAAACTGATTCTAGTTACATATCTGTTTTGGTTTTGTATTTATGTATGTTTTGTATTAAGTACAACACTCACAGAGCTTTAAAGATAATACAAATATAATATGCACACATTTTCATCTTAAAAGCATGCAGCTAGATGAAGTCAACATTTGTTGCAACAGCAATATCAGATTACTATTTTTAATAAAAATTGTAGCATAACAATCCTTGTAGGAAATAAGAATATTTTGATTAGCACGTTCTGTTCATTTGCTGAAATCTCAAAGCAAATCAAAACAAGATTACTAAATATTTTTGTTTGAAGTGGTTCATGCAGTTTTTGCCACCATTAGGAAATTTCATTTGAATTAGTGATGGAATAATCTCTGCTTCCTACTTGAAATAATACTGATGGGCAGAGTTCAAGTTCTTTGATTAAATGTCTCTACTGAACAAATCACCCAAATGCAAAAAGGGATAAGATCACAACATCTAAATCACTAGATATGTTTCTTAAAGTCCGAATTCAACTGGCACAACCAAACATGTTTTGAAGCATACAAAGTAATGCGTGACTTACCCAATGGCATCTGTTTTGACACTATTCTTCTGCATCAGCATATATTTATACTCCTTTCTAACTGCTTGGACTTCATTGTTATTATTTTGAGAAAAATGCAGTTTTTCTTTGTATATAACAGATAATTCATGGGTTTACAGAACACACATACAGATTATTTTGAGATTATTAGCTGTTAGCTGTACTGTAGCTATTAGAAGAGTCCTGACTGGTACTGATTGACAAAGATGTATGCCTGTTCACAGTTTTTTGTTTTAGTTTTTTTAAAAAAAAATATCAGAAACAGATTCCAAATGCTATCTATTCTACATTTTGATTTAGGCATCAGCTGTGGAATAGCTAAGCCATTCTATCAGGAAACAAACATTGCTAATGAACAAAACAGGGATGCAGATTTGTCTTTGTTTAACAACATACTTTCAAACTTGAAAAAAAAATGTGGATCTGCTTGCTTTACCTTTTTTATGTAATTACATTTCTCAAAATCCAAATAGCATTATCACACTAGGCTTTATAATTTGCATAGATAGAATTGATTGAGGTCTTTCTAAATAGGAGGCTTCCAAAAGTTAACTTACATGATCAATTAGTTCACGAACCATTCCATTCCATTGTCCACTGGCATCTTCCTGGGCTCCATATTTTCCATCCTCCACTAGCCTAATCTCATAGGAAAATCCAAGGATAGTAGATAGCTCCCTGAGGAGGTCAATGCAATAACCTTCAAATCGATCATTTCCATACAAAGGTTTGTCAGACTTCTTAAACATCACATATGGCTCTTCCTGCAAAAAATAGAAAGGTAGAACAGATGAGTCTCCACTCTTATTTTTTTTTATATATATTTTTTTTTTTTGTACTAAGTAGGTAATTATCATGATCTCTGTACTGATTGACAAAGATGTATGCCTGTTCACAGTTTTTTGTTTAGTTTTTTTTAAAAAAAATATCAGAAACAGATTCCAAATGCTATCTATTCTACATTTTGATTTAGGCATCAGCTGTGGAATAGCTAAGCCATTCTATCAGGAAACAAACATTGCTAATGAACAAAACAGGGATGCAGATTTGTCTTTGTTTAACAACATACTTTCAAACTTGAAAAAAAAATGTGGATCTGCTTGCTTTACCTTTTTTATGTAATTACATTTCTCAAAATCCAAATAGCATTATCACACTAGGCTTTATAATTTGCATAGATAGAATTGATTGAGGTCTTTCTAAATAGGAGGCTTCCAAAAGTTAACTTACATGATCAATTAGTTCACGAACCATTCCATTCCATTGTCCACTGGCATCTTCCTGGGCTCCATATTTTCCATCCTCCACTAGCCTAATCTCATAGGAAAATCCAAGGATAGTAGATAGCTCCCTGAGGAGGTCAATGCAATAACCTTCAAATCGATCATTTCCATACAAAGGTTTGTCAGACTTCTTAAACATCACATATGGCTCTTCCTGCAAAAAATAGAAAGGTAGAACAGATGAGTCTCCACTCTTTTTTTTTTTTTTTTTTTCCTAAGTGGGTAATTATCATGATCTGATTCCCTGATTCTAAGATTAAAATGAAAAGTAAGGGAATATTTTTATTTCTTGGTTACCTATGCCCTAAATCTATTTATTTATATTCCAACTAAATTTAGTCCAAAGACTCTCTTTCTCTTTTTTTTATCTTAAGAAATGACACTGTAGATACTGTAGACTCATCTTCAAGGCAGTCATATAAATGTGTATTCTAAATGTGCTCTTTAACCAGCCACTCCTTAATAGCAAATGCATTATTTTGAAGAACATTCTGTGCCACTTAAAATAAATTTTAAAAAGGTATGATTTAGCAGGTGAGATAAATAGTAATTTTAATTTAAATGTCTTAATCTGTCAAGTGCTTTAAATATCAGATTTTACACTTTTCTCGATTGTTTTCTCAGTGCTATGTTAAGAAAGCTATAGAAAACTAATGGAAAAAAATCTGTGAAGGTACTCAACACAAACTTAGCACCTAGCACGTAAAACAAAGTATGATTTTTACATCTCTCTTTAAATGCAAAGCTGAGAAGTCAAAGAAACAATGCCAGAGCTTTCTACTACATACCCATAGCACAATACCCATTTTCAATTTCTATTTGTAAGGTTAAATATCCAAGCTCAAGTTTTGCTCACATTTTAGAGAGGCTTTTCCATTTCATATACCAACAAAATATAAGGACAACAAAAAGGTAGAAGAATGGTACTAGATGCAATTACTTTGGCAAGTACAAGACAATGAATAATAATATAAACTCTCCAGGACAGTTTAACAACATTCATGCAGCTCTAAATCTCTTCATCAGCATTCAGTGGTGTTAAAGGCATTTCATTGTACAGGCATCTGATAACTTTAATAGGGATTTGTCAGCATTGCTGATGCTGTGCTCCATTTTGAGATGTCCCATTATTCATGCTTTTTAGCTGCAAAAAATCGTAATTTCATCATACAGCTTTCACTCAAAATACTCGGAGGTTGCCCATAAAAATTACACTCCAGACCTTAACTGAGCTGCTGAGGAATCTAAAAAGAAATAAGTCATTCAGAAAAAAAAAAAAAAAAAAAAAGGGATGTAGTAACAGTAAACTTTCAAACAATCAATAAGTAAATGATTCCAGAGAGCTCTTCTAGATGTAGTACTGTCAAGAATGAAGACCTACCTGATAATGCGAAAGTGGAAGTCAATTTAAGTAATAAGGATCATGGAAAGATACTTAAGAAGCAGAGGAAGTGACAGAACAAAGACTACATATGAAATCCATTGTTAAAAACTCAGGTAATTGCTATGAAGTATCTCATGGAAAACATCTGTAAGGAAAATAGTTCAGATGAACTGAGAATTCCTTACAGAATGCAAAACCAAGCAGAAGCTATGCCAGCAAAAAATTATAGCAAGCATAGAAAAGGAACAACAAGGCTCAAACCTGAGCTCTTCAGTGATTTGAAACAACAACAAAAAGAAAGTATAAAGCAAGTGAAAACCACCTCAGAACATGAAAATCAAACAAAATCTTGTCTTCTGCAGGAACAACTAAGGAAGGCCAAAACACAAAAAACATACAATTAGTAATGGACATTAAGCATAAAAAGCAACATTCTATAAGCAGGTATCAAAAGAAAGTCTAGGAAATAAGCTGTCTGTTGTTCAACCTTACATGAAAACAATGAAATGATGAAATGATGTTGTTGGCTTGATGATTTTCCTGTCTCTCCCTTCACTAAAAAGGCTAAGAGTGATCAGATAATTCATGTAATTAACAGAAGAAACACAGATAAAAAAATCTTAGTTTGAATTAAAAAAGGTATCTTTACGGACTCCTTAGAATTAAAATATTTTCAGGAAGTTTGGAGCTCATTAATTTACTGTAGGAGAACTGGTTTGAGCAATTTCAGTTCCATTAATATTTATCTTTAAGAATCTGTGGAGGTTTGGGAATGTTCAAGCAGACTACAGAAGGCTTATCTATAAACTCCAATTTAAAGACTATGGACTATGGAGCTCTAAAGTTACAGATCATGTAATTTTTATAAGGATATATTTTCTTTTGTCCTTCAATAAATTATAAAACTATTTCATTTGTCTGAATGTACAGCCAAGTGAAAATGGAGAAGGGAAGTAGTCATGGTAAGTCATAATGTTATACTCAAAGTCATCTTTCTCTTCCTAAAATTGAAAAGAAAATTCAAATGCCCAGAATGTTCATTTCATTAAGAGAGCTTCATTATCAATCTGGAAAGTTGTCACAAGTCAAGTTGCTATGTGGGTAAAGTTAAATATTTCCATTTGTTCTTTTGTGTTGGAGCAGAAAGCAGGCTAATTGAATGTGTATAGTCTTTATATTGGGGATACAATCATAACTCAAAATAAGTTTTAGAAACTATAAGATTAATTGTCAAAAGGATGCTTTTAAAACTGAATTAATTAATATTTCCAAACTTCAATAAATAGCAGAATCATTTCTGAGAAAAAAGAAACTTCACTCTAAGCAATGGAGCTATTTATATCTGTTCTCAGTGGAAATTTGGCCTAGTGGACCTCTAGAGGTACCTTGCTATCAAAATTATTTCAGGATTCCATAAATTTGACACTATTAAGATTTTGGTTTCTGTATTCCAGCCAGTTCTGGAACTTGCACATCAGGAAAAAATGTGAACCAAGTGATGAGGGATCAGAAGAAATCCATGAAAATGATTCAAGGTCTACACAATAGGATGAGGAAAGACTGATAGAATATATGTTGTCTTATTTAAACAACAACAGATTAAGGAAGTGGTAACAGCCATCATCACATAAAAGATGTTAGAATTAGGCTAGGAATTATGAAAAAAATAGCAATAAGTACAATTAAATGCCACAGTAAGTTATCTAGGATTTTGTACTGCATTGCTAGAAGAACAAACTCAATCTCCTCAAGACAAAAAAAAAAAAATACACACAACTATCTTAGGAGAGATAAGGAAAAAGAACATTCTGTTGAGAATTCTGTTGAGAAAAGAATATACAAGGTTCAGGAAGTGAAGTCATCACTGTTGAGTCTGTGGAAAAACTTTAAAAAGTAATACACATCTGAAAATCTTACTGGAGTTTCCAGAATGCAACAAAGTTGAGAAAAATAACAAAAGGAAAACAAGATGCTGAGACCAAGTCACAGAAATAGTATGTCAACAAGAGCAGGGCTGCTCCCTAAAACAGGGAGAGCTAGGAGCAGAAGACATTCACAGCACACCGGGCAGACTCCAACAGCTCCTGAGCTCAGCAAGCAGAGTAGAGAAGTCACAGGTAGGGACCCTATCAATAATCTACTGAGAGTCAGGTGAGACAAGGGAAAAGCCAAATCCAAGATCAAGACAGAAAATCTTGATTTAGGAACAGGCCTAGGGGAAGGCTTGCCAGAGTCTAACACTGACCAGGGAGAGAGGGAGAGAGAGAGGGAGAGAGAGAGGGAGAGAGAGAGAGACCTGTTGTTTTATTTTCAAATATCCCATCTTTTTTTTTACTCTAGGTGGTCAGGATATTTTTTACATACATAACTATATTACTACGCTTTTTTTATTTGCTGTTGAGGGACAGTATTCTTTTTCTTTTCCAGGAAATGATCGCAGGACCAGACTTGCATCAGGCATGAGAGGTCTGTCTTCTTGTCATGTGGGATGAATTTATGTAATTATTGAAAGTTTTGCTACCAAGCTACCCTCATTGCTACTCCCGTTCTTTCAGAGTCATAAGTGCTATTATATATATGGTAATAAATTAAATAGAAAATTATTAGTTATAGCATGCTGTATAAGTAATTGATTATAGCTGACTTGCATTAATTGCAGGAAGTTCTGGAAGTTTCATACACATTTGCATTCCCCACAGATAAATATACAGACAAAATCAAATCCACGCAAAATAGCTAGCAAAATCCTCAGTCCATAAGAATTTTGCACTCTGAGTTATTCATCTATTTACACTGTTATGCATGCACCAATCTGTCTAATATTTTGTGGACAAGAGTTTTGTTTCTGTCTTCCATTCCATGCAACAGTGAATTAAGTGCAGCAGAATTTAAGTGTGTGATATGAAGGAATTAGCATAATTGTTAATGCATTCTTTTATGGCTTTTATGTCTCCAATCCCTTTCTTTTCTTTAATATTAAATATTTTTTTTAATATTAAAAAAAAAAATCTTGCAGCACTTTCTAGACTCTAGTTCATGTCTTCAACTCTGTACTCTTTTATGATCCTTTACTCTCAATAGCCTAGATGAGGAACTATAACAGCCTATATGCTAGCGTTTAATACTTATAATACCCTGTTATGGTAAAAAAAAAAAATGTGCTTAGAAGTTTGCTGAATAAGTTACTCTTAATCTCTTAATACTTTGGATGATACTGGATCTCTCTGCTCAGTTCTTTACAGAGTCTTCCACTCTCCAAAATACTTACTTTCTCTTTTCACAGCCTTTGTTTGCCAGGTAGAATATTTTCTCACTTAGCTTTGACAGAATTCAATTCTAAATAATCCAACTGTGCTTTCTGGCATCTTTATCTGTGATTGCTCTTATTTATTCCAAAGCTTTCTCATACTCTTTTCTTTCTTGTCTAGCAATACATAATACATGCGCTAATCATTGACCACAGTCTTTAAGTACTACTTTAGGTCTCAGACAAGTTTAGCAATCTACCACATGTTTTACTTGTTTCAAGTTTTAATTTTATATTACAGATGAACATAAAATTGGTTGGACAAAAGTATGCTCTTAGGGAAATGTCTGAACTAAACATATGATTACCCATATGGGTGGGCAATCATTGTGCCAAATTCTCTCTATTGCAGTATTTCGTCTGAGTAATTTGAAAAGATCAATAACTCTATATACTTATTTAATCTTGTCCTCAAAATTTTATTTGGTCTGCACTTCCCGAGAACATAATCCTTAAAAAATTA